AGCCACACTGTATTTTATGACTTAGCCTCAGAAGTAATTAATATGTGATCGCTTCTGCCATATTCAGTTGGTCACACAGATCACCCCTGATGTACCATGGGAGGGGGACTTTACAAGGGTGAATATGAGGATTTCAGCCATGGAGACTGGCTACCACACCCATATGTATGCAGCCCCATATCTTGGTAATTCTGATTATAAATAAATCTGTCCTTTTCCTTCCATTATCATTTATCATTTAGGACTTCATCATCATTCACCTGGACTGTGAAATAGTTTCATTTTAAGATGCTATTTGCTCTGATTTGATCATTATACACTGTATATATGTGTCAAAACACCACATTACACCCCACAAACTTGAACAATTATGTATCAATTAAAATTAACTAAAACTTGTGGAAAAAAAAAAAACCTTTTCTCCATTCTCTCCCCTTCCAGATTGCTGTCAGAATAATCTTCCTAAAGCACAAGTTTTAGTTTATTCATTTGAAAGTTTGAGGGTCTATTATGTAGTAGACATTTTGATAGGTACTAGAGATATGATGTAAGACATGGTTCTTGAATGCAAATTGCTTATTCTAAAAAATCATATTCTTAAGATTAGTACCTTAGATCTTTCTGAAACCTTTCCTAATGCAAACCTTAACACATGGGGACCTTCCTTGAGTTTCTTCCTCTGGCACCAGTATATACCTCTCTTTAGGTGCTCCACAACAATCTATTAGAGGACTTAGTTCCTTTTCTGACAATGAGTTAGGTGTTGATTTTTCAGTCTTTTGATTTTTTTTTTCCAAAAATCTTTTTTCAAATTTTATAGCAACACACAAAAGTTCGTTTTATATTGCAGCCTAATCACATTTAAGTATACATATTCATAACATTACTGAAATGAATTTTTCACAAAATCATACTTCCATCATGTTTACCTTTATTTCAGGAGCTAAATTCTAGTGTTTTCTATTGTGTTGCATTTTATTCTATTCCATTTCTTAAATTGCTGGTTGCAGTCCACTAAATTGATTTTTAATACTCATTAACAAATTGTGATCCCTACTTTTCACTGTTCTAGGTAGTCTCATTCATACTAATTTAATTACTATCAACTTTCTAAATCTTTATTTCCAGGCCATATTTTTCTCTTCAGATGTTGACACATACATTTCCACTCATTTTAACACAGGCAACTTGATTTCAACATGTTCAAATTGAGACTGTCATAATCACCCCATTCAAGCAAGGGTAACTGGGTAGACGGTGGAATCAATGTTCTTTATCTTTTGACTTAGCACCATTATCTTTTCAACCAGGGATTTTGCATTCATTTATTCAATAAATATTCATTGAATGCCTACTATGTTCTAGGCCCTGTCATTCTGGATTCCTCCTAATCCATCCAATCTCCAAGCCTGTTTATTTTAACTCCTATTTCTACCTACATCTCAGCATCCCCTTTAACAATCTCTAATTCAAGTCAGTATGTTCTTTTGCCTGAGCTATTTTCTACTCCAGTCTTGACCCATGTCCAGTTACCATCACCCCAACTTCAGCACCCAATCCTTTCCCCTGGGGCAGATAAGTGTTCTGTCCATTACACAAATCAGGTCATGTCACTCTTTTTCTTACACACTTAATTGAATCCATCCACTCTACCTTTCATTTGCCATGGGATAAAATCCAAAATCCTTAATATGATCCACAAGATCTTACCTGTTCTGGCCTTTTGCATACCTCTCCTGCTTCATCTTTACCACTCCTCTTCCACAAAACTATATCCCACACTGTCTGAGCTTCTTCATTTGCTCAGAATTCCCTCTACATGGAATGCTCTCTGTGCCCCTTGCTTGGCTAGCTCACATTTACTTTTGTTCATCACTTGAAATGATAATTTCCCCTTTTCCAGGAAGTTCACCCCAATTCTTCAAGTGTATACCATCCTATGTGCTCCCATAACCTTGTGTTTTCTCTGCTGTCACACATATAATGCCACATTGTCATTGCCTAAGTACTGGTCTATTCCCCATAGACTAAGTCCAGGAAGACAGAAACGATTATATTTCAGAGCCCACCAGTACCTAGTATATACTCGAAAGTCAGCAAATATTTGGTGACAATTTACTTAATACCTCTCTCAGTGCTTATTACATTGCTTAAATATTTAAATGTTAGTTTTGTTTCTCCAAAAAGCAAACACTGAGATAAGATTAATGGTATAAGGATTTTATTAGAAGAAACACCTGAGAGAAAAATGTGGAAAGGGTCAGGAAAGGACAGGAGAGAGGTCACACTGTGATGGAAGAGTTTGACTCCTAAGGAAAAAGAAAGACTGAGAATGTTCAGACAAGGCTGTTAAGTACATGTGGAGTCAGAGTTGACTGCTAGAAGAATTCTGTGTTTCCCAGGAACAGGTCTGCTTTATCCCTATCATACTCCATCATTGGCTGAGAGCACCCTGTGGGAAGAGAAGTCTCTGGGCAATATGGCAGTAGATTTCTAAGGCTGCAATCGATCCCCTGGTCAGTAACCCTCCTTGTACTTTAAGGTTTCTAAGCACTTTCATATGGCATTACAGTTGGTTACTCTCAGAGAATAATTCTTCAAGGAATTATGTAATATTCTCCCACACTTGGCACAATTCTTTGAACATTTTTCAATAAATTCTGTTCCAGATGAATAGAGGGTACAGGAAAAAAAGTTATTGTAGCTGAGAGCAATGGGTGTATGTTTTCAAGTTAGTCTGGTGTTAAGGTTGAGTCTGATAAAGTAGTCACTTATAATGGACCTTGTAACCAAAAAGGAAACAAAAAAGTTTTTTAAGCAAAAAGTAACATGAGTAAAATCTTTTTACAAGAATGATTCTGACATCAAGTGGAAAAGATAATCTGGAAATTGGAGACAGGAAAACTAATCTAGAATACATGGGTAAGAAGAGCTATAGATAAGTTACCCTTTAAATTGAAACACAGGGATTCTATTATACATCAGACTGCAGGGTTTTAAAAAGGACACTAGTGTTAAATATTTCTGTTTTTATTCTGAGGAGCTGGTAAGAGAGGCAAAATGGTCTAGTGGAACTAAAACACAGGCAGGTGACTCTTTTCCTATTGAAACCTTTCCTGAGCCACTCATTAAAACATTGCCTCACCTCACCTGCATTGCTACTGTTATGGGGAGCTGCTCCAGAAAGCACTAAAAGTCTGAATTTCAAATCAAATAGAGCTTTATTTACCTGGCCAGGGACTGTCACCCACCATAGAGACTCAAGCTTTGTGGGAGGACAGCAGCTTCCTGGTCCATCTAAGGAGAATATAAGAACAAAAAAACACTAGCCAATCACAGAAATTAAAACATTAATAAGTGGGACCTGTGGGCTCTAGGCAGGACTGGAATTTTCCAGTCAGCAAGCAAGCAATAAACAGAAGCTAAAAAAGCATTAGCTTTGCAGTTCAGTTGACCACAGTCCCAGGGCTCAAGCAGGTGCTAGACAGTCATATCCTGAATTTGGGCAGGGGTTGGTGGGGCAAGAATCTACTTCAAAGTCATGTACACCCACTAGGGCAGTCAAACCCAGGATGTAGCTCACCACAACCAACGACCACCGCTGCATCCTGAGTAGGGTACAATTTGTGGGGTACAAAGTACAGAAAGACAAATTTTTAAATAAGAAAACAGCTTTAGTTTCTATTTCCTAGAAAAGGGTCATGCAGTTCTCTCTTCACAGGGACAGTAACACAGAAACTAAGATGGAGTTTCTATAGTCACATCTTTTTACTCAAATGACTACAGTCACCGTAGTCCCATAACCCCAGTAAAGTGGAATTGTTGCAAGTGACTAATGAGTTTCTACCAGAGCAATTGCTTTGCACACTCAGTACTAGTAACTTATTTGATGCCTACTTAAAACTACAGTTATCTTATGGCCTACACACACATTTTTATCTGTCATCTTACTAATATCTATAAACCCTATGTCTTTTATCCTATGCAAGTCTACAAGATCAAGTTGCTATGTTAATTAATCTTATCTATATATTAACCCACTTGCTTATAGTTATTTATAACTATACTGACAAACTGACTTATTCTATGGCTTAAATCCTATGTTTTATAGTTACATGATTTTTCTACTATTACTTAGGCTTATTCCTGATGAATTTATGTCTTACTATCGCTTATCTATGTTATCTTACCTTATTCCTATAGTCTTTAATCTATATCTATTGCTTATTGATTATATATTCTATCTTACCTTATACCTATATACCCTATATCTATGACTTATTGATTATATTTATCATTTCACACCATAACATTACCTCACTTGCATCTCTGGTAACAGAGGCAGAGAAGAATAATGACAGAAACTGTCCATTTCTGATTTGGTACTGGAATTTCTTTTTCTTTCCAGTAGACTAATTCAGAGGAGAATATTTATTCCACCAGAGTTCAAGTCCCAGACCAAACAGCCAATAAGGTCAGGTTGCTCCTAGCCCATCTGAAGTGTGTTGAAGGGGCTGTAGGAATTAACTGAAGTAAGTGACAATGAATCCGAGTAAAAGGACACCATCTTGGAAAGGAGTGGTTCGAAAAGACTAAAAAGAGCGGCCTGAGGGTAGATTAAGCTCTTTCATAAGGGGATTGAGAGAGCTTTCATGTACTTATTGTACCCCAATCCTTGCACAATACAGTGTGCTCGCCATAAATATTCATTGAATAAAATAATGACTGAGTGAGTGAACGATGCTACTAACAGGTTCCATGGGAGGAAGAAGGAGGCTCAGGTTTAGGACATAATTTCCAACACAGATACAAAACTCTACCTAAAGACTAAACTAGGACTGGTCGCAGTGGGTCTGAGGACTGGAGACCATGAGCTGAGGCGCTTTGAGGAAAACCTGAGGCTGCCCCACCCAGGTTCCGCCCCGCCCAGGTCCTGCTCCGCCCCGCCCAGGTCCTGCTCCGCCCCGCCCAGCTTCCGCCCTTTCAGACCAGGCCTCGCCCCCGCCCTGCTACAGGCTGAAGGGGGCGCCCACGGCCAAGTGCCTTTGCTTGAGATCCCGACGGCCAGGTAATGGGCCCTGCTTTTTCTGCGCCTCTGGGTGGGAGAAGGAATCTAGAACCTCGCGGAGGGAGGACAGCGCCTCGAAAGCTGGGCTAGGGCGGAGTTCAGACCCGCCCTCTGGCAGGTGTTCGCAGCGCAGTCCTGACAGAGCTGAAGCCTGAGGCTCCCTCAGGCATCTGAGGCGCGCCTGAGCGGGCTGCAGGCCTGTGGGGCCTCGAGAAATTTTTAATGTCTTTAGTCAGAAGAAAACAATGATCCCTTAAGGTCAAAGAAAACGTTTTGATTTTTTTTTCTCATAATAGGGGAAGACTTGACATTTTTAGGGCCCACTAAAATCGATTTTTTTTTTTAATGGAGGAAGGGGACCGTGAAGAGAAAAGTGCCTAACTAAAGCCCAGAAATTTTTTGCTGGGATGGAACGCAGGGCCCCGTGCATGCTAGGAACCCTGTGGGAGGAAGAACCATTGAATCATTTAATGCGGAGGGCATGAGAGCTCCTGCCTGTGAGCCCCAGGTGGAAGCTGAAAGCCTTTGGGAATCTGAAAGACACCTGGGGGATTATTGGGTGGGCTGGAGATGTTCTGGAGAGTGAGCAAAAGACACAAGTACAACTCTGGGGCCAGGGTAAGGATTTTGGATTTTGTTCCAAGTGTAACTGGAAATCACTGAAGGGTTTTTAGTAGTGGAGTAACTTGACTTTTGGTTCAGGCACAGTTCCAGGTTAAACCATTACGAGGGTATTCTTGGCAAAAGTAAGAAGTGTATAGTCAGCAATAAAGTCAGATCCTGCCCAGATGCAGTATATGATCATGTTTAAGGATACCCTTACCACATTTTTAGACAGTCCTCCAATTGCACATTAGTGTGGCATCTAAAAATGACTGCAAGTTGCAACTGCAAAGAAATCTTAATCATGGGGAAAAGTACATTTGTTCCCTAACCCTCAAAAACAACGTCAAAACACTGAAACCTCTCATTACTAAGTATATTTTTGCATACTGTAAAACTAATATTTATTTTTGCATACTGTAAAACAAACACTAAGAACTAAAGTGTTTTTTTAAACAAAACAAAAAACTTCTCAATAGTTTGAACAGTGCTTTGCTTGCTTGCTTCTCATAATATAATTTAGGATTGAGCACATATCTTTTCTATGCCTTGGCGGTGTTATACTCCAAGTTTGGATCAGTTCCAATACTTTATCCTTTGTGCTTTCCATTTTGTAAAATACCCCTGAGAGTTCCTTTAATAATGAAGTTCTTTTCTTGCCCATGGCACTTTCATTCTTTTCTTCACAACCACTTTCCTCATTTATGTTGGTAAGTTCACTTTCATTAAGTTCCTCTCACTGCATACCTAGAGTCTATGAAAAGGTGGCAGTGTCAACATTCACACATTCAGCTATTTTTTTCTGTAATTCCATTTATGTTCTATTTGGATTTCACTTTCAACATTGCCGCTTTTGTTTCTTTGCTTCACTTTTATTTTTGTTGGCCAATACCCACTTTCATTTATTGATTTTTATACAATGTTATGTGGGCTTGTCACAAGGAGACAAGGAAGTAACGCATTACCCACTGTGCATAAACTGAATAGCAAATATGCAGTGACCATTGACCAAGAAATTTTAAAAGAAGTAACATAATTGATCACTGATCATTATGTGCATCTTTTACTTACATAATAATTTGTAGACTAAAGAGCTAGATGCAACTTTTACTTTATATAATTACTCATAATTAATATTCCTTAGCAACTGAAATTTGAACTGTTTTGATAGAGGACTAATGTTAATTGTCTACACTATGGTAACTGAAGTCTGTATACTGGAATTATTTAAACTGAGAACTAACTATACTTAAAATGACAGTGTTTTCAGATGTGAAGGAAGATGGACAGTTAAATAAGACGTCTGTGTTTATATTTGTGTGAACCTGTCAGTCTCAAGTTCAGCATTCTATATAGAATTGGTCTCATGCACTTAATTTAAAAATAAAGTTAAGAGATACTTATAAGTTATAGCATATGTTTTCTTGGTAAATATATTACACATTGATTTGGATTTCTGGTTCAAGAATACTTTCAACAGTATTCATTCATTTAGTTTTTTCAACTGTAGCCAGAACATAATTAGAATTCAATAAAAAAAAAAAAAGAAGTTGAGGCTAAGGATATAGCTCAGTTGGTAGAGTGCTTGCCTAGCATACTACAAGGACCTGAGTTCAATCCCTAGCACCACCACATACACCAAAAAAAGTTGAATGAATGCTGACTTCCATAGCCTAAGAAAGAAATACAAAGAAAACTACTTCACAGATTCATTTCAAGAAACAGACACATTGGTGCATCATTCTCGTATCATCTAGATACCAAAATGTTTCTGAAAATTATCATAATAATCTTTCTCTTAAAGAAACTTTAATTTTCCTTGCATTGTTGAGCTAAAATTATATATACATACACATACACACACACACACACACACACACACACATATATATATATATATATATATATATATATATCCATTTTAGTTCCCAGAGCAGGGGACGATTTTAATCTTTTATCTACCTTTTTTTATGTTTCTTTTATGATTGTCCTAAAGTTCTTTTTGAAGTATTTTTATTGATAAACAAGGAATAGAAAAAAGTGTCATAGAACTTGTACATATAGTTTAATAATTAGTCACAGTAAAGAAATAGAACATTACTAAAAAAAAGCCCTGAACATCCCTTTGTCCCTTCTAGTCATAATGTCCTCCTTCCTTTCTAGAGAAAATCACCACCCTAGTTTTTGTGATAATAGTTTCCTTGCTTCTATTTATGGTTTTACCACTATGTATGATCCCTAGGCAAGCTAATTAATTTTATTATTTGTAAAATTTACATAGGTAGACTTATGCTATGTGTACAAACTATTTGTCTTCTTTTTATTCAATATTATGATTTTTAGAGTCCTCAGCATTGTTGCATGTAACTGTAGTTCATTTGTTTCATAATGTGAATATACCATGATATAACCATCATAATGTAGATTGACATTTGTGTTGCTTATAGTTTGGAGTAATTGTGAACAAGTCTAGTATAATCTTTATGTTGCCAATATCTGACTTTGTTAATGTAACCTGATGCATATCATTTTTCACACACTATGTGATTGTGAACAAAAAATCCAAAAAGATCTATGGATAAATTATTATAATTAGTAAGAGAGCAGCAATGTTGTTAAATGCAAAGTCAATATGTAAAAATGAATTATAATTCTATACATTAGCCAAAAATTAACAATGAATTTTTTAAAGATGTCATGTAAATTAATATTTAAAAAATAACAGATACCTAAGACTAAAATTTTTAAAAGAATGAGAAAAATTTGGGAAATTATGGATTCTTTTAGATTTTCTGTATACACAATCATATCATCTGCAAACAATGAAATTTTCTTTCACTGTAGTACCTTTTATTTATTTGTTTTGTTTATTGCCACCTTCACTACAGTGTTGAATAGAAGTGATGGTAGTAAGCTCTTTGTCTTATAGGGAAAGCTGTCAACCTATTACTGTTAAGAATGAATTTGTGACTGGGGGTATAATTTATGAAGCCTGGGGTTTATTCCTCGTACCAAAGAAAAAGAAAGAATGGTGTTTGCTCTAGGTTTTTATAAACATTTTATTAGATTATTCCTGTCATCTATTCCTAGTTATTGTCTTCTTTTTATTCAATATTATGTTTTTTAGAGTCCTCAGCATTGTTGTATGTAACTGTAGTTCATTTGTTTCATAATGTGAATACACCATGATGAATGAATCTTTTTGAATCTTTTTCTTGCATGAACATTATGTTTCAACAAAGACTTTTTCTGCATTTATTCAGATGATCATTTCATTTTCCTCATTTACTCTTTTAATGTGATGAATTACAGTAATTGATATGCTTTTGAGATAAACTCACCTTGGTCATGATGTGTTATTTTTATACATTGCTAGTTTAAATTTTCTTTCTTTCTTTTTTTTTGTTTAGGATGCTTACATCTTATGTTCATGAGTGAAATTATCTTACTTTTTTTCTTATAATATCTTTATCTGGTTTCAGTATCAAAAGATTATGCTAACCTCCTAAGATTCATTGAGAAGTTCCCACTTCTATTCTCGAAAGAATTTGTTTAAAATTGAAATTCTTGGTCTTTGGGAGTTTGATGAAGCCCATCCATAAAATCATCTGGCTTTTGGCTTAATTTGTAGGACAATATTTGATTATCAATTAAATTTATTCGATAGTTATAGACAATTTAGGTTTTAAAATTTCATTTTTATTTGTTGTTGGTTAAATACCTTTTTCTAAGAATGTGTTCATTTATCATATTTATTGGCATAAAGCTATTCATTCTATCCTCCTTTACCCCTTTTCATGTTTTAACATTTGTAATGATAACCCTTCTTATTCCTGATATTGGTTCCTTGTTCTCATTTGTTCTTGTTTCCTCATCTGAGGTCTGAAGATTAGGGTAAATAGCTAGTAAAAAAGGAAAGCAAGGTTTTTGGAAGCAGAGAAAACAGCATGAACAAATGCACGAAAGCAAAGTTATATTTGATATTATTTCAGTGAAAACCTTGAGGTGAAAAACAGCTTCCAGTGAGGTCGATAATCAAGTCATGAAGCGTCTTGAAGAGAATTTAAATTTTACCTTATAGGAGTTAGGAATAACCCAAGAGAAACCCAAAAGAGGAATAAATGAGGTTATACTTTCATTTTTAAGTATTACTATGTACTAAACACATACAGTACTAATGAATGAAGTCAACATGACAAAGTTTTCCTTGGGAAAATTATAAAGGGAGAGACAGTCATACAAGCCAATTACTGTACAATATAATAACTACTAATAAAGAAAAAAAAGGTTTATGAGTGCCAATAGCTTTTTCTGAAACTAAAGTTAGATTTTATATAACTTCTATATTGTTACCACTCAACATCTCTAAGCATCTCATGCTTACATTAGTCAAACATCTAGATCCCTTGGGTACTATTAATACAGGATAGCCTAGAAAAGCTTTAGTACCCAATTTGACTCCTTCTGGACTTAGTCCTCTCAGCTAGTATTCTTTGTTTTAACAGAGCACCCAATTCAACATTGTGAAAGCTAGTTGTTTTTTCTTTCCTTCCTTATAGGTATACAGAATATCCAGATAGTGGCTACACTTCTACCCCTGGTTTGGCTGCCATGCATCATGGGCGAGCTATTGGTAAAGGGCCCTCTACTGCCACACAGACTAGCCAGCAACCTCCTCGACTTCTCATTGTGCACATTGCTTTACCAAACTGGGCTGACATCTGCTCCAACCTCTGTGAGGCTCTGCAAAACTTTTTTTCTTTAGCCTGCAGCTTGATGGGCCCCAGTCGCATGTCTCTCTTTAGTTTATACATGGTACAAAATCAACATGAGTGCATCCTTCCTTTTGTGGTGAGTATTTATTTATTTTATCCTGAAAGCAAATATGAGGTTTTTGGAACAGAGATCATAGTTTTTATTAATAGTAAAAGCCACACTTTTTCCCTTATCCAGTAGCCCTCCAGTGGTACTATTAGACTATCATCTTGCCTACATGGGGGGCTTCTCCTGCATAGAATTCTCCAAATTATTAACATTTAAGGTTGAAGTAGGCTACACATTGCCCCACTCCACTCTTGAGAGAAGGAGAAAAACCTTGACCTTTACAGTACTTTGAAATATAAACAACTGACTCCTTTCACCCACTTTGAAATCTGAATGTATAAGGAAATAAGTCTCTAAATCTCTTCAGAGGTCTCTGAGGCTAAAGGGTCTATTCAAACACCCTTTAACTTCACAGACTTGTCCTTTACCCCAACGGCCAGTTTTATTTTTCAGAAAACCCTAACTGTGCAAAAACATAAAAATACTTTCTTTATGTTCTACTCAGGCAAAACTCTTAATTCCCTTTGGATAAAACTCCCAATAGAGTTTTAAAAAGCATTGGCTGAACCATGGATAATGTTTTACAAAGCACCCCCACAAGCAACTATCTATTCTTAAACAAAATTCAACTCTTCCCTTTTTCCCTTATATAAAAAGTTCAGAATCACAGGGGTGAGAAAGACTTCTAGAGGTTCTATGCATCTTCTTTCTTGAAGCAGCCTTGCTGCTAATATATTTATCAAATGGACATAAATTCTATTCTTCAAGATTCCTAAGGGAGGAATTTCATAAATCTGTTGCTACATTATTAGTGTAATATCTGATTAGAATACACTCATTTTAATTAATGCCTTATTTCTCTTATTGAAAGTAGAAAGATAACGTTTCTGTTGGTGTTTTAAAGAAAGGAAAACAATATACATTGCTTTATGCTTCTTGGGTTACAACATTAAAAAATATAACATATCCTTATTGCTTTGATGTGTCTTAGGCTCATAGAAGCTAGGGCTTTTCAAAATGAATCACATAGGGAATGTTTTGAGTATAAATGCTCCAAGTGCCAAGTCTAGTGATTTTGTCCGTGCATTGTTATTTAGGCTGAGTTGGGGATGAGAAATGAATAAAATTAATTAAGGGATTCAACCAATGTTTTTTACAACTTGAATAAAATTTGGTTCCTCTATTCGTTGTGTATTTCTATGAAACAAATTATACCAAAACAATGGCTTAAAGCAATAAACATTATCTCATGGTTATTGTGAGTTAAGCATTCATAAGCAGCTAAAAGGTGGTTCAGGCTAGGAATTCCTTGGTTGTAATCAAGGTGTCAGCCAGAGTTTTAGTCATACAGAGGCTTGACTGAGGCTGGGGGATCCAGGTCCAAGATGGAATATTAATATGGCTATTGGCAGGAGTTCCTATTTCCTTACCAGTTGGATCTTTCCATAGAACTATTTGAATGTCTTCATTCTGTGGCAGCTGGCTTCTCCTAGAGCAACTGATTCAAGAAAGGGATAGGACTGGGAATATAGCTCAGTTGATAGAATGCTTGACTCACAGCACAAGGCCCTGGATTTCAATCTCCAGCATCACAGGGGAAAAAAAAAAAGGTGAGGGGAGGGGTATAGTAAAGAGGAAGCTAGGATACCTTTTATGTCCTGGTATCAAAAATAACATACTATCACTTCTTCCACATTTCCACCCATACTGTTCCACCCTAGACAGAGTAACAAGGATAAGATTTACCCTCTTGCCTAAGATAACCAAAACGTGATTTATATGAAAATAGCTTCCAAGACACTGCATAACATACTTTTAGAAATGAAAACTATAGCTTCTGGAATGGAAAATAATGATAGGGTTAATGGCAGATAAGACATTGCAAAAGAAAAAGCTAGTGAACGTAAAGACATAAGAAATAGAAATTATTCAAAATGAAACACAGAAAGATAAGAATACTTACTTTTAAAATTAAATAGTGCATAAGTGAGCTCTGGGACCACTTTAAGAGTCTAATACACATATAATTAGATTTTCCAAAAGAGAGGTGCAGAGGACTAGAACAATATTTGAATAATGGCCAAAATTTCTCCAATTCTGATAAAAACTTAAACCACAGATCCAAGAAACTCAGCAAATGCCAGGCACAGAAAATAAAGGAAACTGCACAAAGGCACATCATAAAAAAAATAATAATAACCTTGTGTTAAGGAGAAAATCTTAAAAAGGAACCAGAAAATTATAAAAAATTTATACTTTTATAATGCTGTAACCCAAGAAGCATAAAGCAATATATATTGTTTTTCTTTCTTTAAAAAACCAACAGAAATGTTATATTTCTACTTTCAATGAGAGAAATAAGGCGTTAATTATCACATACAGTAAAACAAAGTTAACTGCAAGAAAAGGTTTCTTTCTTTTTCAACATAATTGTTTTAATCCTTTACGATAATTGTTCTTGTTGATGCTCAAACTGTTCCCTCTTTGGCCAGGGGAAGCCACATTTCCTTCACATTTTCACATTGGATGCTGTTTGGTTTTTTTGTTTTTGTTTTTATTTTGTTTTTAAACCAGACCCTAATAGTGTTTGATAGCATTTTTTGCTTTCTAGAAGGATAAGATTGTCCCATGTTCTTATATATTTATTCCCAGACCTGGATTAGCCAGGAAAAGATTTCTTAATGGAACCAATTTAAATAAGGAAATAATAGAGCTGGGCATCGTGGCATGTGCCTGTAATCCCAGTGATACAGGAGGGCTGAGGCAGGAGGACGGCAAGTTGAAACTAGCCTGGGCAAGTTAGCAAAACTGTCTTAAAAAATAAAAAGGGCTAGAGATATAGGCAGCAGTAGAATACTTCTGGATTCAATCCCCAATACTGCAAAATAAATAGATAGATAGATAGATAGATAAATGATAGTAGAATAACATCCTTAAATTAGTGAAAATACTGTCAATCTAGAATTCTATACCCAATAAATATCTTTCAAAATCTAAGGTGGTACTTCCAATTCCAGACAAGATTAACCCATTAGGCCCCAAGTTTTTAATTCTTGAATATTTTAAAGAAATGTACACAGGTATATTATAATAGATTAGAAATCATAATCTATTTGTATTATTATATTATTATGTATTATATATTATATATAATAAAACATTAGAATTAATATAGTATGATTATGTATAATATAATATAATGTATATATTTATTAATGTATATGATTATATATTTATTTACATGTAAATATTATACATAATTAGTATGTTGCCATATATTATATAATTAATATAGTAATATATAAAATCTTTTATTATATTAATTTATATCATATTATTATCATATAGACAGAAAATATAGTTAAGTTTTATGGGTGTTTCACATTTGAGTTAATGGGACAAAATTGGTTAAATAGATTTCTTATTTATCTTGCTAAGTAAATCCCTGGGCAGTAAATATAACGCAAACATAAGAAGACTCTGAAAGGATAAGAGCCAGATGTGGTAACACAAACATGTAATTCCAGCTACTTAAGAGGATGAGATGGAAGGCTGAGGCAGAAGGAAGGCAAATTCAAATCCAGTCTGGGCAAATTAGCTAGACTGTGTCTCAAAATGAAAGTTAAAAAGAAGGCACAAGATGTAGCTAAGTGGTAGAGTACTTGCCTAGCAAGCATGATATCCTGGGATGAGTCCCCAGTATCACCAAAAAAAAAAAAAAAAGGGGGGGGAAAGTTGCACTAAATAGGAACCACAAGATCTGAGAGATGACACAGCAAACAGTTTGCTGGGTTTCTTTAGCCTCATAAAACCTGGACCAGGTCCTGAGAAACATCTTCACTCGAATGCAGACCAAACAATACCACCCCCCAAAGAAAGCCTACTTATTCTAGCCAAAAGACCATCCTACTCCAACCAATTCATCATGGGAAAACACACACACACAATTCAACAGCTATCAGTAAAGACCAAGTGGGGAGTTCACTCTTGCAGAATTGTGATAAAGCACCTCTCCTTCCCTGCTGAGCAGTCAGAGGAGACTTAGCGGAAAGCCAGGACTTTCATATACACTTGACAGGATATTTGACAAGGGAAATAGAAAAAATATAATATAAATTACACCTATATCAGAAATGAAATGAGGTTATCATTGTAGACCCAGTAGACATTCAAATGGTAATAAAAAGAATGCTACAAACAGCTGTACATGCATAAATCTGATAATTTAGATGAAATGGACCAGTTCCTTGAAAAGTACAAACTATCACAATCACCCAGTATGAAATAGATAGATCATTTAAACAGCCCTATAACTATTAAGGAAATTAAACACATCCTTTTAAAACTTTTGAAAAAGAAATCTCCACATGGTTTGGGGAATTCTACCAGGCACTTAAAGAAGATTTAACACCGTTTCTACACAATCTCTTTCAGAAAATACAAGAGAAGGCAACAATTCACAACTCATCTTTTAAGGTAGTTATCCATACCAAAAACAGACAAAGACAGTACAAAAAAAAGAAAACTGAAGACCAATATCCTTCATGCATATACATGAGATAAACTTACCAGAATGTTAATAGAATTCACCAATATATTTTAAAAAAATACACCATGACCACATGGGGTTTATTTAAAGGATGTGAATTGGTTTAAAGTTTGAAAACCTGTCAGAATAATCTATATTTAAAAATTAAAGAATAAAATTAGATGATTATATCAATTGAAGCAGAACAAGCTTTGGACAAGATTCAATACCTACCCATTCACGTAAAACTTATAACTTTTTAACTTCCTATTTAATTGAAGTGATGAATGCTTTCCCTCTAAGACTAGGAACATGACAAAGAAGTCAGTTCTAACCATCCGTACTCAGCATAGCACCAGAAGTCATAGGCATTGAAATAAGGTAAGAAAAGGAAATAAAAGGCATACAGTTTGGAAGGGAAGAAATAAAACATCCCTATATGCAGATGACATAATGGTCTATTTAGAAAATCCCAAGAATTTTGTGCTACTTTTTAAGG